AGTAATGTGAGGGCACTGTAAATCGTGGTAATGTGAGGGCGCTATTTATGAGTTGGAATGATATCGCAGTAATGTGAGGGCAGTGTATATTGTGGTAATGTGAGGGCACTATTTACGAGTAAGAATGATATTGCGGTATTGTGAGGGCGCTATTTATGAGCTAGAATGATATCGCAGTAATGTGAGGGCACTATTTGTGATTCTGAATCATAGAAATGAAGTACTTTGAAGATGTACATGTATCTCAGCATGAAAAAAATTGCATGTAACTTTTGAGACCCTTTCCGTTCAGTAAAATAATGCAGTGTCTGACATGTATCAGTTTGCAAATCTTCCCCCAAATCACAAATTTTATAATTATCTTTAAAAATGATGATTGACACCAAAAAATCAAAACTATGGTTTTCAGGACATCAAAAAAAACAGCTTCAGTTTCCAAAACCTAAACACAAAATGGTGAGAAGTCCAATATGTCAGTAACTTTTTCTCAAAATGTCCTTAAGTGAGACCCATACGTGTACATCATTTTACCACAATAGGGTTGCATAGTACTGGTCAGTCTCATTCATGTCATTGTACCCCCCCCCACTCTCTAAGACACTCCCATGCAGTCTCTCACCCCCTTGCCTCAGTCATATCCTATCCTTAATTTTATGTGCAAAGAGAGTTAAAGGAGGCCATTTTGAAGTTGTGCAATACCTGAGCAATACACCTCACCGAGTGCTTTTTGACCCTTCCAGCTAATTGGGCTCTGAAACACGACTAACCAATTGCATTGTCTCACATTCTATGGTGCTCAACCAACCATGAACGCGAGCTTCAGTGTACAATAAGTAAAGTCAATGAGGTAAAGACCTCAGGCTAAAATGTTCAAAGTCAAATGTCTGATCCTTTAATCTTTTGAGTAGTGTACATTGGTTTACAGTGCATGTACAGTGCTGCTATAATGAACAGGGCAGGGTCCATACACACTGCATGGTGTAGCATACCTCCCCAACTATTGCGATTTCATTGGTACTGTTCTAATCGTCGCATTTTCATAGGCCTAAAAAAGGTGTTCCTATTTCCATAAAAAAAGGGGGAAATGTCCTGGCTAAAGAGGGCGCTATTTGCCAAAACAGAGAGGGTGCTTTTTCCTGTGTTGAAATGTCAGTTCTCACATACATTCATGTAAAACAGATTCTCTTGTGCAGCTGCTTGTTTTGCTATGGGCTCATAATTTGGCCGTACCAATTTCGGAATTTATTTACATCCTAACTTTCGTGTCACTTTCATCAGTCCTAAATGTTTTTCTTCAATTTAAAGCAAATATGTAATGTTCAGTATTAAGAACTGCGCCGGAACTTTGGGAGCCAAGAGGCATGTTCTGTATATTGAACTGTTCAGTTAGTGACGTTGTACTGTACTTACATCCAAATTATTCATGACTTAAGAGGTACTCTGTAAATTGAATAGACAATCTCACCTCACATTTAACAAGTTTGCCCCCCCCCGGACAGAGATACTGACAAATGGGAAGAACCTCCACCATAGCTCAGTTGGTAGAGCACTGGTACAGTGTTCCAGAGGTTGCAGGTTCAAATCCCGCTCCAGTCAACTTCTTTGCTCATTTTTATAAGTTTTTCCTTGGACAAAATTCTATGTGCATTTTTTTTCCCAAGTTGTACATCCACATTGCCAGAGTATTAGAAAAAGTCTTTCACTTAAAATTATCACAAAACTGCAAGTCGCAAATTGTTGGCTCAGTGCTGAAAGGTCTTTACTCCAAAAACGTAATTTTTGAAAACATTTTTATGGCTTTACTCTGTAAACAAAAGAAATATTTGATTTAAACAGGTTTTTTTAAGTCAGTATAACTAGTTCTTTTACGGCCAACATGTTTAAGTTTTAACCAATTCTATTTTCCAAATTAATGTCTAAAACAATATTTTTCACTAAACACCTTTTAGTGCATTCTAAGGAATTTTTAGCACTGACATGAAATTTGTTCCCTTGAAAATTTTGCCTTGCAAAAATGCTGTGTGTGTATGTAAAACAATCACCATTTATTGCTATAACCAGTTAATTTCTCTTTGCAAGTGAAATAAATGCTCATTTATTTAAACTAGCAGAACAACTTATTTGTACATGTATATCTATTTGTAAAACTCCAGTACTTTGCCACTTAACCTTTCTCCTAATCTGGACCATTTTACACTGCCAGAGTTTAAGGTGCATCTGTTACCATCTTTAGATTTTACATTACAGCCTCATCCTACATGGAAGCCCTGCCAGTCTTAAACATCTTCCAAGCTCCTTATATAAAGTTCCCTCTTGGAGCCTTTTAGTCTCAATCTTATAAGGGCTATAATAAACCCAATAGCAGTATGGAACATTAAGAAGCTATGTCCTTCAACCCCATGGGATCCTCAGAGCTCTAATACTGATAGTCCCAAGCCCTAAGCCATCCACTCTACCCTTCCTATCAGCTCTCAGTCTTCAAGCCTTGCCCATC